ATTTTGTATTAGTGTCATCATAGAATCTTATTCAGAGTGGAAAGGACTTTAAGGGATAAGATTAGATGATTTTTCATTTTACAGATGATAAAAATGAGGCCCAGAATAAAGATTTGACTTGACCGGGAACACATCAGTGCTCTTTCTCCTACCCAATCGTTTTCCAACACAGCCTGGCTTATCCCCTGTGGTAGCAAGCATCTTAAAGCCATATCCACTGTATCTAGCACATTCTAACCTGCAGGCCTTCTCTCTGGAATAATTGTACACTAGAATCAAGTGCTGAATCAAGGAGCTGGCTTCAACTGGGGATTGGGTAGAGAACTGACCCTTTGATGAAATTCCCAGCACAGTCTTTGGAAACCTGGGTTCAAATAAAGCAGAACTTTGTCAAGGGCCTGTACCACTCTAAACTTGGAAGGGCCTTGATTGACATCAAAAGGTGCCATGTTCTTGGCTAGAGGGCACCCAGCACAGTCTGGCATTTGGCAGGCTGTCCTGAGGGCAATAGACCATGGCGGTCTGTGGTCCACCCATTTCGGTCTGAGAATGGTTAGCACTTTCCAGCTTTGCCACACTGGCCCGGCCTACCCATGTGCCCCTTTGCTAGTAAGGCAGCCCCCCCTTGTTGGGAGATATAAAGGACCGAGCAACTCCTGGCTGAGAAACACCGGGAAGAATAATTAATGTGCCTCCTGAGCTACAGGCTGACATTGTTCTGTGTGTCAAACACAGGAACAGGTTGGCTTGATACTGTGGAAGAGGACAATAAAGCAAGCCATAGTTCCACTGTAGTGGATAGCACATCTTTCCTAACCTAGGTTGTCTTCGCCTGTGTTAGTAGTCAGGCCGGCCAGTCTTATCACACCTTGATCTGCCTCTTCATCATCAGCCTAAGTTATCCAAGTCCCCAACTCAGCAGTGACACTTCTATGGGTCTGGCCACTCTGGGACATAGTGGTACCCACAGCTGATACAGTTGTGAGTCAAGCCCCCGATACTGATGGATGCTGATGGACGTGGAGAACAAGAGGGTCTATTGACTCCCTACTGTGTACTTAATGCCATGTGAGATATGGGATAGTGATGGAAAGGCATCCGTGAGGAGTTTATCATCTAGTTAGGCAAACACAATAAAGACATATGAATTGATTTTGAGAACAAGACAGTATTTTTTTTTAAGATCACATTATGCGTTGATATAAAACAATGCTAAATTATGAAATTCAGACAAGTACAGAAGGATTTAAGTGAAGGGAGAGTCACTGGGGGTGGCATCATCAAGGAAGGCCTCCTAGAGGAACTAGGAGATGAGCTGAGCTTTGAAGGATGAATCAGATATGAGTAAGAAAACATGGAAAATGACACAAAGGCACAGAGATCACAATAAGCAAATCGTGTAGCGGTGAGCAGATTTACTTACAAACCCAGTTCATTAGTATTTCAGTATTTCACTTTAGAGGGGAGAGAGAAAAAAAGAACACATCGTCAACAACAATTTTCCATGTAGTAGAGCTTTAAATAAATCCATGTTACTTTCCTGTATCCTCCTCTGAACTCTCCCTTGTAACAAAGAGATATATCTCATGCAAAACAATCTAACAGTTTAACATCTGGTGGTATATATATATATATATATATATATACAAATACAATACCTATCTTTTATATCCACAGTCTGCCACCTCTCTGTTGAGAGGAATGAAATAGTTTCTGATGCCAGTCCTTGCAAATCAAGTTTGGTCATTGCAATGATCTAAATTTTAATATATTTTAATATGATTTGCTTTTACATTATGATCATTTTATTTATTTTTCCCCTGGTTTTGCTTTCTTTATTTTATTCACACAAGTCTTTCCTCTAACGTCTTTATATTCATAATTTCTTATGATGTAGTAATACTATTTAATAGTTATATACCACAGTTCATTCATTTCTCAATTGACGGGTACCCACTTTGTTTCTTTTTTTCCTCTTTACCACTTAAAGTGATCATGTGTACATACATACATATCTATGTGTGTATATATATATATATATATGTATGTATATGGATTTGAGGCAGCTAGGATATTGGTAATGTTTTGGCATTACAGATAAGGAGAATATGCATTCTACTGAGAGCAGTAAAATGTACCTTTGTACGTTTATAGCCTCTACTTCCACAGTAGAGTCTATATGGGTTTGCGTAGCATATGTATGAGTTTGACGAATTTTATTCGATACTTTAAAATAATTTTCTGCTTTTAGATTTTTAAATATAACATGTGAATCTGTGAATCATGTATTACCTCTGGAGTTGAGATTCTCATTTTTAATGGATGCTGAGGTCAGTCACTTGAATTCTCATCAACCTTTATATAGTTGAAAAAAATGGATACATCTTTCTCTTTTCCACTGTAATCATCCAGTTGATGGTGCAAAGGGACTGTAATTGCAAGAAACTTTCAAATCCTTTTTTAGCCAAAGGTGACTCCCATCACCTTTTCCTCACCATCTCCCCAACCCCATTTAATGATAGCGCTTTCCCCTTTAGGATTATCTCCAATTTACTCTATCTCTTATTGATCCATAGTTGTTCACATGTTTCCCTCATTAGACTATGAGCTCTTTAAGAATGAAGACTTTTTTTTTTGCTTTTTACCTTTATTTGTAGCTCTACTGCTCAGCACAGTGCCTAGCACATAGTAGGGGCTTAATAAATGCTTACTTGTTGATTTCACCATCTTGTCAGTGTCCTTAAATTGTGAGATTTTTAACAAAGGCCTATTAAAGCTTGATAACTTTATGTTAAAAATGTGAGACTGACTAAGTCTTAGTATTTGTCCAGGAAATGTTGAATTGAATTATTTGTATTTCATTGTTTATTAATGTAGTTCTACTTATTTAGAATTTAAATTTTATGAAAACCAAAAACTAACCTCATTTACAGACACTTCCATTCTCATTTCCTTGTGTTTTAGCCTACTATTTGGGCTGGCTAGTAGGATACATGCCACTTATAGGGAGAGCTATCAACAATGGTCCTGCTCTAGCACTTGAACATCTTTAATTGACAATGGGGAAAATGGATCTGAAAAAGCTATTATTTTGGTGCCCAGAACAGTAATATGGGGGTTTAGCTCTTCTGAGCCACACCTCATGGAATGTGTAAGTTCTAAGTCATCACCACAGTGGCCATCTAATCCACACCCTTCTTTTAGAAGATGGGGAAGCTGACTGAAGTCCAGTATGAGAAACCATTTGTCCAAGATCATACAAGAAGTTAGCTGCAGAACAAGGACTGAAACTGAGGTCTCTTGACTCTGAGTTCTGTGTTCTTTCCATTACACCATCCTGTTTTCATTTCATTTCCTCTTCCTCTCAAGCTGCTCTCTTGCTCACTATGAATAAGCACAGAGGAAGATATTTCTCAAGACTATGACATTCAGTACCTGGTACAGGCCTCAGAGTTCATCTCAAACACAAAGGTATCCTGGTACCTAGTTCCATAAACTGTGGGGTAGCAGAGGATACCAGTGACCTGTGAAGACTGCAGTATCATAGAATTAGAGCTAGGAGGGTCCTTAGAGGTCATCATGTCCAATTCCCTCATTATACAGATGGGCAAACTGAAGCTAACATAAGGAGCTTGCCTAGGGTCACACAGCTAGTAAGTGTTGGAAAGAGGATTAGAACTTGGGTTTTATTAACGCTAAGTGCAGAGCTCTATCTACTGTGCTAGTTAGCTGCTTCAACATGTCAAGTCTTTGGGGCTATTTAATCACATATGTTCCAATCCAGCCTCTAGCTACAAGACTGAAATACATGCTGATTTAAAAAAAAATTTAAAAAGGAAGAAAGAAAAGGTGCCATCTGTGATCCATTGGGGCTGACATCATTATTTGCTTATTTATTATTTTTTAAAAATTATTTTTGGTTTGAACCTCTGATTCCTTTGGCATAGGGAACTCCTAATAGGGAAACCACATCAAACAAGTTAGATTTGCAACTACTCTGTATTGTATTGTGGTAGAAAACTTCCTAGGAGTACTGAGAGATTAAGGGACTTGCCCAAGGTCATACAGCTAGTACATGTTGGAGGAGAGACTTGAACCTAGGCCTTTCTGATTCTGAGTCTAGCTTACTGTGCCAGCTGCTTCTTTGCCAGTAGACATATTTTAACTTTCATATGTAATCATCATCATCATTACCATCATCATCATCATCATAGCTAACATTTATATAGTGCTTACTCTATAGGCACCGTGCTAGGGCTTTACAATTATTATCTCATTTGAGCCTCAAAACGACCCAGAAAGGTAGATGCTATTATTATCTCCATTTTATAAATGAGGAAACAGAGACTAACAGGGGTTAAATGAGTTGCCCAGGGCCATGCAGCTAATAAACATCTGAGGTTAGATTTGAACTCAGGTCTTCCTGACTCCGGGTGCAGTGCTCTATACACTATTCTTCGAGATTCCAACTTCCTCATTTCACAGTTCTGTCCCAAAGAGACCCAAGGATATATCCAAAGCTTTATGACTCTGATATCTTATTTATTATATTTGAGAATAACTATTTGGAAGATTGGTGTGATTCTGCAGACACTGGGAATGGGTCATTCTTGATAGTCAGGTCTTTTTTTTAAGATATCTGAGGCATCTCAACATGTCCAAAATAAAACTTATTTCTGGAATTATTTTTTTTCTCTTTGTATCCTTAGTACCTGGAACTTATTAGGCACTTAATAAATACTTGTTGATTTATTATATACCAGAACTCTTAAAACAAACAAAACTTGGATTATTTTAGATAGATATCTTTCTGTGATGGATGATATTTGCCCTTGCCTTCTTAAATAAGGGTTTAATAAACTTAATTTAGCTATTTCTTGACAACTTGTGGTCATCATCTTGAAGACCTACAGTTCTGCTTTTTTTTTTCCATTAATGACTATTATGTTGATAACATAATGGAAGAATGTTTAAATATCTTTTCTTTGCTTTTCTTACAGTGCCTGAAACAGTATGTTGAGCTGTTGATCAAAGAAGGACTAGAAACTGCAATTAGCTGCCCAGATGCAGCTTGCCCGAAACGAGGTCATCTACAAGAGAATGAGGCATGTTAATAATACAAATGAGTCTCTTAATGCATGAAAACTTATTCCAATTAGATTACCTGGTTGGTTTGCTCTGGCCTATATACTAGAAGCTCTTAAAAGTCATACACATTTAAATATGCTTTTGATTTTCCTCTAGCTTTAAGCTTATTTCTGTTCTTTGTGTTTTTAATTAGATTGAATGTATGGTTGCGTCTGAAATTATGCAAAGATATAAAAAGCTGCAGTTTGAAAGAGGTATGTAATTGTCCTTGTACTTGCCTGCCCCACTTGCTGATTTGTTGTTGTTGTTGTTTTTGTTGTTGTTGTCGTTGTTGGAGGGGGAGGGTACAGAGAGAAATAGCAATCTTTTGAAATAAAAATGTTATTTTTATTGAAAAGCTGAATAACAACAATAACAGCATCATAAATTTACGTCATAATTTAATGTTTTATTTTTTATAATTAATTTATTTTTAATTTCCAAAATTCACTTCCGTAAGATTTTGAGTTTTAAATTTTCTCCTTCTCCTCCCTCCTCCCCAAGACTACATGCAGTCTGATATAGGTTCTACTTAAACAGTCATATTAAACATATTTTCACATTAGTCATGATGTAAAGAATTAGAATTAATGGGAGGAACCACATAATTTAATATTTTTGTAGCCCTTTCCCTACAACAACTCAATGTGATGGGTCCTACATTATTATTTTACAGATGAGGAAACTTAGGCTTAGAAAGGTAAAATCACCTGTTTATTAACATTAATTTCAGAGCCTGATTATAATCCAGACCTTCTCCAAATCCAAGGTTCTTTGGATTATAGGACTTTGGCTATAAAATGAAACTTTATAAATCAAATCATATTTTAAATCATCTGCAGTGAGCCCACGATCTAAAGGAATGTTATTGTACATGCCTTTGAAGGGGTAAAAATTATTTTTGTAAAACAAATCTTTATCACAACCATCATTATAATAGCTAACATTTATAGAGCACATTAGAGCTTGCTAAGTGTTTTGTATCTATATTATCTCTTGTGATCATCCTTCAGTTTGTTTAGTGCAGGTTAAAAAACTCACATGAGAGTGAGGGGACTACATTATATAGTCTGTGATTCCATAATGTCTTTGAAGCTCTATTATTTAGTTTTCTGAGTTCTCATCCAGATTTACTGTTCTGTGGTTCTTAGGTTTCTATCAACCCCAAGATTCTATGATCCCTAAATTGGAATTTTGTTGTATTGAATCTGCTAAAGTGAAATTTATCTAGAATTATCTGCCCCTCAGAGTATATATCCTCCAACCAAAAGATGATATATTTAGGGAAGAAAGCAATCTTAGAGAATATCTAGTCCAATCTACTATAGATAGGTAAAATGAGGTCCACAGAAAGTAAGTGATTTGCTTGAAGTCATGCTAGCATAAAGAGTTTGAAGTGGAATGTCTCCAATGGCCTTGTTTCTACACTGTCCAACATCAACAAAAAGAATTCTGGAATTGGAATCAGAAGACCTAGGTTGTGATTCTGACAATCTTGCTTATCTTGGGTAAATCATTCCCTCTCTTTGGGCTTCAGTGGCCTCATATGTAAAATTATGTAGTTGGCCTCGATTATCTCCTCGTACCTTTCCTGTTTTAATTTGTGTGATCTGACAGAAAAGGTCCCATAATCACTTATTCTATATAACTAGCAACCATAGACCACCAGTACAGGGCCTTAGATGGTGAGTTTTAAAAACCAATCACCCGATAACTTTCGTACACTAAGAATTGAAATATAACGTGGTTATCCTCTGAAGGACAAGTTTTTTTTTCTTTGTTTCCTGAAAGACTGTTCTTTTTTTTTTTTTAACTCTAGTATAGGGCACATTCCTGACTTAAAAAAATCAATTCTCTTTTTTCAAAATAAACCAAAAAAAAATTATTATATCTTGGATTTTGAACCCATCCATCATATAGGAAAATGAACCGATCATCCACAATTAATTATTTACCCCAAACTTGTCTGTACAAAGATTCCCCGAGTCACTTGAAGTTTCAGAAGTTCTGTTTGGTTGTGCATGTTATATGATGTGTATACTTGATTCTTCTTCACATGTTCAGAGCCTTGCCCATCTTGTTTATCTCCTATTAGTATTCAACACTGAACGATGGTTTTAAATCAAAAAACACTTTCAAATGTAAGTGGAATACACAATCAGTTCTGAAGCAAACCCCAACTGGTTCATTTGTCTGGTTGGAAGACACAGATCAGAATCTTGTGAATTTGCTTTAAATGCTGAGGGGAAAATCATTGCCTGTCACAGCTTTCTTCCAAAAACAGTGTATTCTGCATTTTTTTTTCCTTTTAAAAAATGGTGTTAGAATGTGCTTTTAGAAGTCTGTACATTTAGATGACATCTGTTGGGTTTTTTTTTTAAGTTCATCATACACAACACTTTTATAAAGTGGCACATGCTATAAAAAGCAAATATGTTAAATTATAAAATTAGTTAATCCAGATTCTAAAATGTTTTAAAGCTCTTGTGCAATCATTCCTGAGGGAGAATTTTTCACCAAAACTACCAGATTTAGGGTTACAAGTAAATAAACCATTCGGGTCACTGCTTTGTTAGACAAGGGGGCTGGATAATTTTTCCTGTCCAAGAATCTTTTGAAACTATTTAAAAATTAAAAAAAAATAAGGCCATTCACTTTAACCTGAAAGAAAACAAAGAGCTTTCCTCCTCAACACCTCATACAAAATTACTGCTTTTTTATTTTTAAACAGTGCAACAAGCATTTATTAAGCACTTACTGAGTGCTGAGTATCTGAGCCAATGCTACAAGTACTTGAGGTTGCAAAGATTAAAAAAAAAAATGTAGTTCCTGTCCTCTACAAGTTTATGTCCTGAGGTGGGGGATGGGGAGGGGGAAGCACACTATAGATAAATACAAAATATTAGCAGTGATTATCTCCTCAATTTATCTTATGTATATCTTGTTTGCATATAATAGTCAGTGTGTTGCCTACTCCATTAGTCTGTGAGCTCCTTGAGAAAATAAGAATACAGGACTGTTTTTTTTTCTTTCTTTTTTAAAACATTAAAACTATTTCTAGCTATCTAAATGTCATTTTATTAAAAACTAATAAGTTCAGAATTCGTCAGACCAAAAGGCAATCTAACCAGGTTAAAAAAAAAAACCCTGAATTCCTAGGAATGTTTGAAAGAAATTCAGCTTGGTTACTTTTTAAAACCAGGTGAAGAGCTCTCATTAGACTATCAAAGGTAGAAGGTAAAGATCCCTAAGGACCTTGTTTTAATAAATAAATGAATATTATTCATAATTACCTTACCAATAATTTCTTTTATTTTTCCTTTCCTTTTCCCTTTCCTTTCCTTCCCCTTCCCCTTCCCTTTTCCCTTTTCCTTTCCCTTTTCCTTCTCCCTTTCCCATCTTTCCCTTTCCCCTTTTTCCCTTTCCTTTCTTTTCTTTTATTGGTAGCTCTTTCTCAACTGTTATTTTCCTCCAAAGATTAGGCTTAACCCCTGAAATCTTATTTTACAACTTTCGATTTGCTTAGAAAATTATCCTACCTAATAAGGCCTGACTATTTTCATAAGTTGAGAATCCTTGAGTTATGTCTTAAAATCTTATTGTTGAATGCTCCCCAACTCCTCATAGAGAAGTGATAGACTCAGAACAAATATTGAGATTGTTTTCTTTGTTTTTCTTTTTAGACATGGCCTATGTGACAATTTGTTTTGCTTGACTATACATATTTCTAACAGGGGTCTTATTTTTTCTTGTGTCACTGGAGGGTGAGAGAGAGAAAAAGAGAGAATGTGGACCTTTGTGAAAATAAGACAAAATGGAATTTTTAAAAGAATCTACTTGATAGGATATAAGAAGGTTCAGACATCTGTAGTTACTGATAAGTCTTGCTTAGTTAAAAAGAACTAGGCCAGAGCTTCCAATATCACCAACGTAAAATTAGTGAATTTTGCCTAGTGTGTCCTTTTTGATTCAGTCCTGCATTGTATGTGCAGTATGACCCACTGAAGCCTGGGGAATGTGTGAAAATGTTAGTGGAATTCGTAGCACAGAGACCATAAGCAATATGTTCATGATGTTAAGTGCCTCCTGGAGATGAAGCCAGTGTGGCAGGTGAACTGGACCAGAATCCCTTTCACTCTCTATGTCTCCTGATGACAATCCGGCCCACCAGGTGCCAGGCAACAAACCCAGTGTTAACACTGTAGAAACTCAAAAAGTCAGAAAATTAAATTAGTTTCCATGGGAACTTCAGCTATGTCTCCTTTCCTTCACAATCCTATCGATAATAGGGCCTGTTATTATGTGATAGCATAATGGACAATGCTATCTATCTAGGCTATTTCTTTGTTCCTGTTGAAAGACCCTGGACTAACATATCCCTGTATAATGCACACACTCAAGGAAATACAAGCTGGGCTGGAAAAAAAAACAAAAAACAAAAACGTGATCCACTCATGTTCTCTGGGGCATAGGAAATTGAATGGAAAATGGAATGGATTTGAAATAGTAGCCCTAGGTCCAAATTATGGTTCTGCTGCTTTTTACTGGTGTGATTCTGGGCAAATCACCTGATTAGATCTCAGTTTCCTCATGTATAAAATGAGGGAGTCAGTTTAGTTGTCTTCTAAGGTCTTTTGCAGCACTGTGATAATATTTCTGGGTGAGTTCTAGTCATTTTCTTTTTCTTTTCTTTTTTTTTTTTTAGTGAGGCAATCAGGGTTAAGTGACTTGCCCAAGGTCACACGGCTAGGACGTGGACAAGTGTTTGGTCTGAGGCCGGATTTGAACTCAGGTCCTCCTGACTTCAGGGCCAGTGCTCTATCCACTGTGCCATCTACCTGCCCCCATCTAGTCATTTTCTAAAGGCTAAAGTGGGCAGTCAGTCATGGGAAATGGTGCAACATTATCCTATTTCTGACTCAGGGTGAATTTTTGTCCTTTAAAGATATGATCCTGGACCAAACATAGGGACAGGAAAAGGGGAGTAAGAGAAGTCATGGAAGGGGAAAGCTGAATGATAGGATGTCAGATCTAGAAGGGACCTTAGCAGTTAGTTAGCAGATGAGAAAATGGAGGCTTAGAAAGTGACAGACTCGGCCAAGGTCACCCAAATCCTAAGTACCAGAGCCAGGATTTGAACTCAAGTCTTCTGATTCTGTGGACTTTCTTTTATGCCACTCTGCCTCCCAAGAGCCATCCTGTTTCTCCTGGCACTTCTCTCTGGGGTGTCTGAGATTTGTGGCTATCAAGAACTGGTGGGAGGTAGAAATAAACATAACTTTGCAGTTACTTTTAGTTCAGGCCATTCATTTTGTTTCCCTGGGATCCAGCAGTCATGTCCATAAAGGGATACAGGGTCACTTTTAGACAGAATTGTCAAATTTATTTAAAATTTCTCTCTAGTGCTCTTTTGCTCGGACTTTCCAATGTCAACCTAGAGTCAATTTATCAAAGAGCCAAGAAGGAATTCAGAGATTACCTAGGCCAACCCCATCATCTTTTACATGAGAAAATTAAGCCTTAGACAAGTGGTGGCTTGGCCAAGGTCATAACAAGGTGAGAAGGAATAGAATTAGGATTCAGACTCTAAAACCCACTACTCTTTCCAACATAATTTCCAATTACTTCATGCTGCTGAATAATTAGGGCTCTTCAAGGTGGCAGTGTTTTTTAGCCTCTGCATTTCCAACCTCTAGAGATGTCATGGAGTAGCAGAAAGGCCATTGGAAGTCTGAAGACCTAAGTTCAAATCTCCATTAACTATTTATGTGATCATGGGAAAGTCACTCCTGGGCCTTAGTTTCCTCCTATGTAGAATGAAAGGTTTACACTAAGTTATCTCTAATACTCACTTCATCTCCAAATCCTATGACCTTATAACATTACCTCTTTTTCTCTGTCACTTCCCACCCTCCACTTCCATTACCTTCCATTACCTTCCATTGCATCTGATTTTCTCATGGGCCCTCCTCTGAACCAGGCTGCAATGACTTGAGAAAAATTAAATTAGTGCTTGAAAAATTAAATGAATGGCTTTAGATGAAGGGCTCAGTCCCTGAATTTAAGATTCAGATTCCCCTCCACCCCCAGTTTTTAAGGAAATAAAAGCAGAAGGATGGGGAAGGGGAGAAAGGGAGCCTGTTCTCTTACCCCAATATTTATAAGACTTTAATCAAGTTGATAACAGGGCTGAGAAGTGGAAAGGTTGTATTTATCTTAAAAAGTGCAGTTTTGAAATGAAACTTGGGAGTGGAGTGGAGCAGCCTCTAAATACCACTCTGTAGATTTGGGTCATTGTTTTAAATTAAGTATAAACCCTGAGCTCCAATAATCTTTGCAGTCAAGTGACATTGATACTCGAGAGACAGCCCCCCCCCCCCCGGAAATTAGTCCATGATTTAAATGAAAATTTCAGGACAAGAAGGGTAATGTAGCTACCAGTCATTTGAATGATTTGATTAATGGTGTATCAGTGCTAATAATTTTCATAAAGGAATATTTCTTCTATCCACCCTTCTCCTGTTGAAATCCTTTCCCCTCCTTTAAGGAGTAGCATAAATGTCATCTCAACCATAGCATGCTATTTCTACTTCTCATGTGTACTTAGCCTATGTTATTTGGTATTATCGTTATTTGTCTGCTTCAGAATCCTCTCCTTCTACTACACTAAACTCTGTGAGGGCAAGAATTCTATATTATTTACTTCTCTGCCAATACGTAACACAGTGGTTCCCTGAACCCAAAGAGTGATCAATTCCAACCTGGGCATAGGTCCCTCAGTACTATATGCTCTGTTAAGTGTTTGTTGAATTGAAGGTAGAGTATCTTGTAATTCTAACTGGATGTTTCACATTCCTACACTAGAAGTACTGCTGGATCCCTGCCGGACATGGTGCCCATCTTCTACTTGCCAGGCTGTTTGCCAACTTCAAGATATGGGGCCACAAACACCACAGCTGGTGCAGTGTAAGGCATGCAACATGGAATTCTGTTCTTCTTGCAAAGCCAACTGGCATCCTGGGCAAGGCTGCCAAGAAACAATGCCAGTCACCTTCCTCCCCGGAGAAACAAGGTAGCCTCTTTTTACAGGATGCTTCTGGCTTATACCAGTTACATGAGGCTTCAGCAAGAAGGGTGGGGTCAGAAAGCCTCTGTCTTCCCCTAGGAGAAGGGTCTTTAGGACATGAGGAATGTCTTGGGGGTATTTGCCACATTACATAACACATCCCCTGAGTTACTTGGTTCTGTTGTAATTTCCATCTTTAGTGAGGGGGAAGAGAGATAGCAAGGACACCTTATTCATCAAAATATGCTGCCTCACTCCCACTAGACTGCAGTTCCAGGTCTCAGGGAGATAGCATGGCCAAAGTACTGTGCTCTAGCCCAGTGTGGGCCTTAGAATCAGAAAATTTACATTCAAGCCATACCTCTCCCACTAACTTCCTGTGTGATCTTGAGAAAGTTATCCCACTTCTCTGAATTTGCTCAGTGACATTGGTTTACTAAGCCTACAGTCAGAAATATCTGAATTCCAATCTGTCCTCAGACACTATCTTTATGACCCCGGGCAAACCACGTAACCTCTCTCTGCCTCGGTTTCCTCAACTAAAATTGGGGGTGAAATAGCACTTACTTCCCAAGGTTGTTGTGAGTATCAAATGGCACATAGTAGGTACTTAAATGTCCTCTTTTCTTCTCTTCTCTCCTCTTCCATAATAACAATGATGATGATGATGATGATAGTTAATATTTATAAATTGCTTTAAGATTTGCAAAATACTTTACATATACAGAGTATCCCAAAAAATCTTTTGTGTTTTTAAGCTCTGATAGCTTAAAACTGTATTGAGACCTCTGAGATACCCTCTGATTTGATCCTCACAATAATCCTGTGAGGTAAGTGTATTGTAAATGAAGAAACTGAGGCTCAGAGAGGTTAAGTGTCTTGCCAAGGGTTATCAACTATCTCAGGCAGGATTTGACCTTAGATCTTCTTAAGTACTAACCCAGAACTCTATTTACACTGTCTCTCTTAAATCATAATCATCTATGAGATGGTGATAATAATACACTATGTACCTTTGAGGTTGTGGTGAAGTTCAAATAAATAGAAGTAAAGGCCTTGATGAAATGTAAAATTTTATTTTAAATTTCAAGACATTAATAATAGTAATTCTGATGATAATAAATACTGATGTGTGTTTCTTTATCCCAAGGCCTGATAGAATAGGGTTCAAACATCACATTTCCCTATGCATTGAGGGTCCTTTGGATCATAGTACTAGACAAGACCTTTATAACCAGGTCTATAGGGAAATAAATTTATCTTGAAGGTTAGAGAGAAATAAGGAGATTTAAGATCACTAAGTAGATGATTAAAAAACAAAACAAAATCTAGCTGCCCTTGATGAAATCAAATTACCACGCCCAGGTGAACCACATCCTAGAATACTTAAAGAGTTGGCAGATGGGATTACTGAACCACTATTACTGACCTTTGAAAGAATGGGTAGAACAGATTGAACAGTCCTGAAAAAGCACAAATATCCAGATTTTCCAGAAAGGAAAAAAGGTTATTTTTCAAACTATAGGCTAATAGCCTTGACTTTTATTCTTGGCAAATTTCTGGAATGGATTATTAAAGGGGTGGTTTATGAGCATTAAGAAAAAAAAGTAAATACCACTAAAACACAATAGACTTCATTAAGAATAGGCAATGCTGGAGTCTCGTTTTTTTCTGATCTGACAGGGCAACTAGATGAACAGATCAAGATATTGCCATAGATATGACTTATTAGAATGTCAGTAGGGCATTTGATAGTTTCACATAATATTCTTGTGGACAAGATAGAGATATTTGGGATAGATGATAGTAAAGTAGACTCACAACTGGTGGAAAGATTGGACCCAAAGAATAGTGATTACTAGGTCATTGTCAACCTGGTTACAGGATCCCCCTTGGCATGCCCCAGAATGGTACCTTTGACCCTTTCTTGTTTGACAGATTTATCAATAACTTATAGAAAAGCAGGCATATGTTATGCTTATCATTTTTGAGACCTCATGAAGCTGAGAACAATGTTATCTATTGGATGACAAATCCCGAAATCTCACAACCTATTAGAATAATGGGCCTAATCTATTAAAGTGAAATTTAATAGGGGAAAAATACCATGTCTTGCATTTGTCTTCAAGAAATCTGCTTTATCCTCCCTACAGGATAGGAAGCAACCATTTTTGTGAAAAAGAAATGGAGGGGTTAGGGGATTGCTGCTATAGGCTTATTTATTGACACACTGATCTCAATCATTCTCCAAGCTCAGCATATCCTGACATCTCCCTGGGTTTTCTTTTCTCCTTCAGAGACTACTAGGGATGCAGAACTGTGCCATGAAGATATAGCATCTGTTAGCACCCTCTCCTCATCACTCCCCAAATCAGTCCATGGGATGGCACTCACTTTCAGAGCCTCACAGTCTCGGTACTTGAAACACCAACAAAGTGTCAGCCTGCCCCTAGCCCCAGGATCCACTTTCAATTTTCCCACCAATTAAAATTTGTCCTAGGGTCAAAGCATACCTCCTAGTGATCCATAGTCAGACTCATGAACAAACTGCTGAGAATCCATGGCCAGATATGCCCACGAACCATTTGCATTTCTTTATAACCTTCAAATGAGATAATATTTATAAAGTGCTGAACATAGTGCCTGGCATATAGTTGGCACTTTACAAATGCTTATCCTCTCCACCGCCCAACTTACCTCTCATTCACTGACCCATTCTGTCACTCTTCATCAGTTCAGTTTCTCCAGCCACAGTGTTAGCTCTGGCTCTATCCATGGCCCGTTTTCTGCATACTCTGTTACAGTCTCTTGAATTCCTTCATCAGAAATACCCAAGGAACGTAAATTGTAACTACTCCTCATGTTAAAGAATGATCACTGGCCCCAAAGGGACTGGAGGATGTGTGGCCATAATAATAGCACTTACATAGCACTTTAAAGTTTGTGAAGGGACTTCATTAATAGTGTCCCATTTGATCCTCATAATAACCCTATGAGGTAGGTGCTATTATTATTCTCATTGTATAGATAAGAAAACTGAGGCAGGCAGTGGTTTAGTGATTTGAACAAGATCACACAGCCAGTATATGTCTGAGACTGGATTCACACTCAAGTCTTCCTGACTTGTGTTTTGTCCACTGTACTATCTAGCTATCTGACATAGTGAATAGCTACAGGCACCTGTCATTCTGTACTGCTTTCTCCGCGCAAATGCCTGACTTTCACTTTGGGCATTCCCAGGGTCTAAGCACCATGTGGCAGCCAAGAAAGCTAATGTGATCTTAGGCTCCATTTAGGGAAATGTAATGCCTAAAACAAGGGAAGGGATAGGTACTACTCTGCTCTGCCCTAGTTGCACAACATCTGGAGTGTGGCCCTGAGTTCTTGCTACACATGTATTAGGAGGGACATTCATAAGCTATTGCATATCTAGATGTTATAGCCAGGATGATGACCATGTCTTATGAAGGACAGTTGGAGGGCCCGATGTTTAGCCTGGAGAAAAGAAAACAATTTAGTTATAGGGGCAGAGAACAGTGCAGAAAAGGAAGATAGCTGTACTCAAATATTCATAGCCCTCTCATGTGGCAGAAGGGTTAGATTTGTTATCCTTGTCTCTAGGCAGATGAATTTAAAGCAGTGGTGAAAATTTGCAGCGTTTGATTTCAGCTTGACATGAGGGAAATTTTCCTAAAGGTTAGACTTATCCAAAAGAGTAATAGGCTTCCTTATGGAGTGCTGAGCTCTCTCTCTCAAAGAAGGTCTTCAAATGGACATTGAAACTGATCTTATAGGCGATATTTTCGAGGGAATTCCAGCTCACTGGGCCATATGATCTCTGAGATCCCTTCCAACTATGGTAAATACCATTTAACTATAAATATTAATATATAGGATCATAGAACTTAAAGGAGCCTTAGAGGCCCATCTAGTCTGACTTCTTTGTTTTACAGATTTAAAAAACCGAGGCTCAGGCAAGTTAGGTGACTTGCTCAAAGGTCATATAGGTCCAAAGCAGTAAAGAAAGGGTGGACCTCAGATCCTTTTACTCCAAAGCTAGTATGTTTTCTACTTAACTGTATAATTGTGCTCCTTCCCTTTCAGTGTAGATGACTCATGTCTCTATTAATACTGTCATTCACAGAATCTTGAATTATAAAGACTCAAGGAACTTCTTAAGGTTACCTGTTTTAGTTCCTTTCCTTTGGAGTTATGGTGGTATTATCCCCATTTTACAGATATGACTCCAAGAAACGAAGTAATTTGCTCCCACATCTAGGTCAAAGGTAGAAGCAGGGCTGGAAGCCTGAACTCCTCTTGCTTCTTGTGAAGTTTTCTTTCCATTCCTCCATGTTGCTTCCCATTATGATTTCTCACATGTGGATAAGTGAACTAGAGAGAATATGAAGTAGCCTTAGTAAGAGCTTATCCTGTTTAACTTTTCCATAGGATTTTCTTAAAAGGTGAGTGTGGACAGTCTCCTCAGGTGTCTACTTTGGAGAACTTTGGGTGGCAAAGTGTTTGTGTGTATGTATTTGATATTAACATTAGAAAGACCATGGGATTTATAGTCTAAGGATCTGGGTTCAGATACTGCTTTGTAACCCATGGGATTTCATACAAGTCACTTAACCTCTCTGAGCCTCGGTTTCCCCATCTATAAAAATGCAGTTTGGACTAGATAATCTCTAAGGCTGCTTTCCCCTCTTAACTATAGGTGCCCATATATTCATACCTCATATGCTTCCAAGGTATTATCCCATCTTACATAACCAGCCCTGGTGAGGTGAGTTGCTTCTTGTAAATATAGTGCTTTAAACAGGAAAAAGAAAAAAAAAACCATTCTGGAATTTATATTGAGAAAACTGGTATTGCTGAAGATGTAGAATGCTAATTGGTAAAGAGTAAGATTGAGATGGCAATGCAGAGTAAACCTAACAAAGTGTCTCCCACAGCTCATCTTTCAAAATAGACGAGGAAGACGCACCAATCAAACGCTGCCCAAAGTGCCGAGTGTACATTGAACGGGATGAAGGTTGTGCCCAAATGATGTGCAAAAACTGCAAACATGCATTCTGCTGGTACTGCCTCGAGTCCTTAGATGTGAGTATGCCCCACCCCACAGTCTTGGAACCTGGCTACTTAGCCTTGGTTTCCATATTCATCACTGAATGAAGACAAGTGCAATGACACCATGAACAACTTTTTTTTTCATTATTTTGAGGTAGGGGATTGGGGAGGAAGGAGGTAACATTTTCTTTGCCAGTATCCAATTTTTTTTTTGTTTTTGTTTTTTGTTGTTTTGTTTTTGAGGCATGGCGAAATTGATGAAATGGCACCGATTTTTTTTTTCAAAGACCCCTAACCCACTCCTTTCATTGAGGATTTAATAAGTGTAACACATCAGGCCTACAAAAAAAAATACAAGATACAATACTTGCCCTCTAGGAGCTGACAGTTAGTATACACGAAACTGTCAAATAACAATTGAAAGATTCAAATAATCTTTTGGTCATCCTTGAAATAGCAGTTCATAGAAGCAAGAGAAGAGATACCATGAGCCAATACATGATTAAGAGGCAAATGAGACACTGGTTAGTGCTGCTCTGGTTAGGGAAAGCTTTATGGATAAGGAGTAATTCAGCCCAAAATACTCTTTGGAGTATTTATATATAGGCAAATGAACTGTAATATAGGATTGGAGAATTCCATTTAAGGCAGATGGGCTATAATGCAGCATCCTAAGAATTAAAGTCAAAAGGACCTTAAAGATACTCTAGTGCCATTTTCTTAATGTACTGATGGGAAGTTGAGGCCAAGAGGGGGTGACTTATCCAAGCTCACACAGATAGAATAAGAGCTTTCAGGTGAAGCAGCTTAATTTTTTGGGGAGTGGACAGTTTGTATGAATAAAAACCCATTTATCCAAAATCAAAAAATTCAGAACTGGAAAGGACCTTAGATGTCATCTGGTTCAGTTCCTTCAAATTATACATGAAGAAATTAAATTAAAAAGGCAGAAAGCACTGTGCCTATGATCACCTTGATCCAATTAACCAGAATTTGTACTAATCTTTTGTAGTGAGAATGATAATCAGTCATGACTCTGTAGTGCCATAGACTATTAAAATCCTTCTGAATCTTCAAATTGATCTATGTTTAGTTAAGTATTTTCTAGTGTATTCTATTTTATAAAATTTAATTCAATAAGCACGTATTTAATGCTAGCAATATATGTGGTACTGTACTAGGCACTGACAGAAAGTTTAGATAAGGTACAGGAAGATATGAACTTAGGTCTTTTAAGTCCAGATCTAGTATGTTTAGATGGGCAGCTAGGTAACACAGTAGAGAGAATGTCAGGTCTGGAGTCAGGAAGAATCTTCTTCGTGAGTTCAAATCTTGTCTCAGATACTTAATAGCTGTGGAACCCTGTTTTCCTCAGTTTCTTCATCTGTAAAATGAGCTGAAGGAAATGACAAACTAGTATCTTTGTGAAGAAAACCCCAAATGGGGTCATGGAGAGTCAGATATGACTGAAATGACTGAACCACATTAAGTATATTTAGTCCCTACCCTCATAAAATTTACACCTACTTAAAAAGATTAGGACGAACATAAAAATAACTTTAATCATAGGATTATTATTCTTGAGGGATCTCAGAGGCATTCTGGAGCCAAGAGGAATCTCAGAGGTCATCTAGCCTAACCCTATTTTACATATGAGGAAACTCTGACCCAGGTACTTTCCCATGGTACCCAGCAATAGTCTCCCATGGAGAAGTGATTGGAACCAAGATCATCTGATTCCCAAGCCATGACTTTTCCCACTGTGTCATGCTGATAAGAGCACCAGAGAGAGGTAAACTAAATGCCCTATTAAGTTTAAAGAGGGAAATTAGTTCCTAGGATAGTCATGGAAAGGTTCATAGAGAAGTTGGCATTTCAGCTAGTTTTTTAAAGGATCTATTACACTGAGAGGTCATGTTGCTTAGTGGAGAGTCAGCTTTAGAACCAAAACAACATGTGTTGAAGTCAACTTTCACACACACAGGCTTTTGTGACCCTGGACATTCTGTCAGTGCAGTACAAACTCTCTTAGTGCAGTACAAATTCTCTCAGTTTGGAGTTGGCAGAAGAAGGAAGGTGCTGACCTACACCGGGGGTGGGGGGGTACTTTAGTGATTTGTGAGTTTTTCTTCATCAATCAAATCACAAGTCAGCTTCCCATACTCTTAAAGGATGCTTAGGAATGCAGCAGGCAGATCATGAAAGAGGACATTCTAGCATAGGATATGGATGGAGGCTTAGAGTCAACAAACAGTCATTAAGTACTACACAAATGCCACAAATGCTGGAAAACAAAGACAAAATTAAAAATATTCTCTGCCCTCAAGGAATTTACTTTCTCTTTGGGAGCTGGAAGATGAGAAGACTTGTATACAGATAAGTACATAATATAAAGTAATTTAAGGTGGTAGCAATCAGGAAAGGCATTATGTAAGTGGTGATACTTGAGCCAGGCCTTTAATAAATCTAAGGATTCCAAGAGATGGGGGATGAGGGTGCATTCCAGGCCTAGGAGGTATGGCCTGTGCAAAGGAGGGATGTTGAGTAAGCCATTTTGAATGCAGTGTTGCATGTGGATGGATAGTAACAAGAAGTCTGTCTAGACAGAGATTGGAGCAAGATTGTAAAGCAGAAAACTCTGATTTGGTCAGAGTGATAAAATACATGGATGAAAATAACATGATAAAGTGGAACCAAATAGTGGAGTTCCTTGAATGCCAGACATTTGAACTTTATTTGGAAAGAAATGAGGAATTCTTGTAGGGAAAATTAATGTAATAAAATATAATATGATGTGATATGATATGATATAACATGATATAACATGATATAATATGTAATATTATATGTTATGATAATATAAAGGTTGGATTTGGCAGGTAGAAAAGGGAATGGGAGGTTAATTCTGGTGTAGTATATAAAGATAATTATTTTATTTTTTATGATTTTGTTCATTATATGGTATAGAAAGGCAATTTATCTATAACTTATGACCTGTGTTGTCTGTGGCATTGAGAGGTTAAGTCTCTTGCCTATGGTCATACAGCTAATGAAAGAAGAACTCAGATCTATAGTAGGTCTTAATGACCCCAAGGCTCGCAATCCACAGTGTACTCCTCTTGGTAACCATATTAATCAAGATATTTAGTTGACCAGACTATCTGGTTCCTTCTCTCTTATCTTAAAAATAAGCAATAGTTAGCTATACTTTGTTAATGGCATATGGGCTCCTCCCATAAGTTGTAAGGCCCTGGTGATGCAGGTGCTACTTGTCTAATGGTTAAATTATCCATAGCTTTATTTATTTTTTTCTACCTTTACCAGCTCTCCACTATTATCAGCTCATTAGAACTTCACCCAAAGTTGTCAGGGAAAGGGACATGAATTGAACTGATTTGCTTTATCTTGGCCACTTTGTCCAAAGGTTCCAAAGGGGATGAGTTTGAAATGGACTAAAAGTCACATGGAACATCTATATATTTCATGTATTCCTCCTCCTCCCCCCTTTCACTATCTTGAATTCTCTAGCTCAGTGGTGTCAGACTCAAATAGGTTGTATATAAGGATCTCTGACAGCCACATGTTGACTTACAAAACCACACATTAAAAAATCAAAACAAGAAAAAAGAAAGAAGAATAAAAAAGAAAACCACACACACATTTTAATATGCCAACACATTAACATCAGATAGGAGCTACATTTTAATCTGGTTTGGGGCTGAACTTGGGAGTGTTGTGAGCCACATGTTTGCTATCTCTACAGTTGATTGTAAATGGGCAGGTGGCTGCTCTGGTTCTAGAGATTTTCATTCTCCCTCTGGAAAGATCCAATTTTATAATGACTATCTCTACATGCTTTCTGTTGCTCTAAAAGAATACTATCTGACAGACCTTGCAAACCAGCATTCAAATATTTGTTTAAAAAAATTGCAAAGACCTTTCAATGGCTTTGGTTTAAGCCTGAGTTAATACCAGTTAAGGAGAGGAGCAAAAACTACCAAGGTTTGATGACAGAATATTTTCTGTTTAGCATTTTCAATCAATGTACTGTTGAGGAGGCAATACAGGAAAGGAAAGACTATTTTAATTTGGTTGCCATAGAAAACAGATTCTAAAGCAAAAAGATTTAGCTTTTATGTTTGGTTATTAGAGACATTCACATCAATTTAATACTAATTACTAAAATGTGAGGCACTAGGCCAGGAATGCTCTTAAAAAGGCATATGAGAGTATTTCATTAGGCAATTGAATTTTGCTTGCCTGTAATAGTCTGTGGAGAGAGAAAACCTCTTGCTAATAGGTGCATCATATATTGTTTTTGATTGAAAAATCATACATGATTTAAGACAGTTTCTGTCTGGTCATTTGCTTTGGCTTAGCATTCAAGGCTTTCCATAATCTGGCTCCAGCCTATTTCTCCAACCCTATCTGCAATAGCTCCACCATAAAAATAAATAAATAAATAACCTTTACATAGTACTTTAAGAGTTGAAAAGAGATAGATGTACATGCATACATATATGTGTATGTGTAGCCTAGGTACTATACATGCACATGCATACGCATACCACTTAACTCTCCAGGGCATTAATCAATCAATGGACCTAATGAAACTTTAAATGGTTTATAACCTGTGATCTCTTTATGAATTTTGGATCTCTAGTCCTGCCCGTTGTATTTATGTGTGGCATAGAACTTGGTCAATTCATAAATGAGCTCCTTCCAGAGTAGATTAGCCTAACAGTGGAAGATTTCAATTCTGAAGTTAAGGATTCCTAAATGAGCCAAGCCCTCTTGGAGCCTGGGGGAAGAGGAAAAGAGCTTCTGCCTCTTTACCCCACCCCCATCCCCACCTATCACTGACTGTCATCAAAGAGAAGGGATCAATTAGAAAGACAACACATCTAACCCAGAGCAGACTGACAACCAAGAACAGATACTGAAACAAAAGACAGATAGACAAAGTTAGCCTGTAGAAAGAAGCAACTTCGAGGGCATGTGACTCCCTTGAACCAGAAAAGAATGTTGTCTAA